ACACCTTCCCCTCAAATCTCTCCTCTGTTCTAAAATTTGATTTGTCTATTTGATATGTGTTCCCTTTTTTTTGATTGTATCCCTTTGGTATAGATGGTCATGCCAATTTTCTTCTGCAATTTGATCTGAGGAAGTGGGTCTGGCCCACAAAAGCTCATCACCTAATAAACTGTCTTGTTAGTCTTTAAAGTGCTGCATAGTCCTGTCTTTTGTTTCAGCTGGACCAGACTAACAAGGCTACATCTCTGTTACTATTGTATCTTGTAGACTTTGTACCTCCTTTTACTTAATTGATTGTCCTGTTGAGCGAATGAGGTGTGAATGGATAAGGCATGAAAGACAGCACCTCTGGGCTCTTGCAAAGGTTGGAGAGGGGTGGAAGCCAGATCCAAGAACAATGAGAAGAACAATGGGACCTGTGAAGCGGGCTCATTGAAAGAAAACTAGACATACGGACACCTTGGGAGTCAGCAGCAAGTGCCTGCTTTTGGAAGCTCCCTCTTTGAAGGAGAATGTGGCAGCAATGAGACACCACCCAAAAGAAGGTGCTACAGAGGTCTAACTGTATATGCATATGATGACTCTCACAGATGATGCATATGTATGTGATGACTAATTGGTGTAGAGCTGCAGGAGAGGGAAGACACTATGGCTAAGTCTACGCTACAAGGTTTGTGTGCAAAAACCTGTGGCACATCCACACCTCAACTGAGCTCTTGTGCAATTAAATGGGCAGTTAAATGGCAGAACAGAGGGCTTTTTCCGCCAGAGGTAAACCTCCTTTTCTGAGGCATAACTGATTTTAGCACTACAGCTATTGCACAAGTAGGCAAGTGTGGACGCTCCAGAGGGGTTTCTTGTGCAAGAAACCTCTATGGGAAAAAGCACAGGTGTGGACACTCTCTTGCGCAAGAGCACATCCCTTTTGCAATGTGCTTTGAGGTGTTGACATGCTCTTGCACAAGATTTTGTGCAAAAACCCTTGTGCAAAAGGCTTCTTGGGCAAAAACCTTGCAGTGTAGATGTAGCCTATAAATCTAAGGCATTTTGCAGCAGGACCTGAGTTTTTTTTCTTGTCAACATGGGAGCACCGATCTGGATCAGCAGAAGCCTGGCTCCACTTCTCTCCCACCTAACTCACCTGGGCAGTGCAGTTAGGGGGAGCAACCATTGGTGTGTGTGTGATGTATCATATGCATATGATAAGTGCTGATTGATCTATGTGCTACCAATAAATGTGGCGTTTTGCCTTTTCCCCTCGAAAAGATCCTGTGCAGCACTTTTAAGTACAACAGCTGCTCTCCAGGGAAAGTCCTCACTTTTGAGGAGAATGGACTTGAGGGCATCCTTTGCAAACTAAGGCTGTTTTTCTATGTTCTATTATGGTTTTCCTCATCTTCCAATTGTAGGAATTTTTGGAGAGGAAGTTATGGCAGAGCTTTCACGTCATGGCTGGATGCTGGGGGATGCATGTACCCACATTTCATTTGTTCTGCCCCTGCTTCTCTCCTTCTCAAATGAGGAAACAATCTAGCAAGTGATTTGAAATACACCAGGGTCTCATCTTCGTGAGACGGTTGCACTGGCTTAACATAAAATTAGTTTTAAATTATGATTTATTATCGACCTATGCAACACTGAAGCTCGTCATTCTGAAACTAAAAAAGAGCCCACACAGAGGCTAACATCAGTTGGACTAACCAGATTAAAAAAGAATATTTCAGTTAAATGGGTGCTCTCTGTGGCTGTGTCTAGGCTGGCAAGTTTTTCCGCAAAATCATCCTCTTTTGCGGAAAAACTTGCCAGCTGTCTACACTGGCCGCTTGAATTTCTGCAAAAGCACTGACGATCTCATGTAAGATCGTCACTGCTTTTGCGGAAATACTATGCTGCTCCTGTTCGGGCAAAAGTCTTTCTCCAAAAAACTTTTGCGCAATAGGGCCAGTGTAGACAGCAGAGATTTCTTTTCCGCAAAAAAACCCCGATCGCAAAAATGGCGATCGGGGCTTTTTTGCGGAAAAGCACGTCTAGATTGGCCACGGACGCTTTTCCGCAAGAAGTGCTTTTGCGGAAAAGTGTCCTGCCAATCTAGACGTGCTTTTCCAAAAATGCTTTTAGCGGAAAACTTTTCCATTAAAAGCATTTCCAGAAAATCATGCCAGTGTAGACATAGCCCTAGTGTACAAACAAATTCTCAGCTGGAGTCATGTGCAGGGAACTAGCTCCTTGAGCCCCATCACTGCACAGGAAGAGGCAAGACTGCCCCTCTTCATTCTGACCTAGTGGCAGAGACAACATTGCACTTCACGGGTGTTATCTCTGTTATGCAACAACAGTGCAGGAGATTATCAGCCGCCAATTACTTCCTCCTTGCCACAGAGCCTGAATCATGAACTTTCTGATCAGATGTTTTTCATTCTACTTTCACTTCGCTGTTCAATGTTAGAGGTTAGAAGTACACTAACCCATGCACTGGGAGATTGTTTCACCCTCTCTGAGGCAGGTTGAAGATACCTTCCCTTCCTCCCTCACCTCCACTTACTGCTGGAACTGGGAATACCGACAGCAGAAGGGTGACTGCATGAGCAAGTGGCCCCAAGCTCTTATCCCCAGAGCTCAGGCAGTGGGAGAGGCAGATTTTCTCTGCAGCTTGCTAGAAGGAAGATGCCCACATCTTGGGAGACAATCCTCAGTGTCCAAGCCATGAGAGAAGGAAGTGCTTAACAAGTCAACATTAATGCATTAATCCTCAACATCCCTGTGAGATGAAGGTAAAACAGACTTGGCAAAGGAAAATGCAATATGGAGGCCAGGAAAAGGAGAAGCCGGGTGAGGGGAGGAAAAGGGAAACACATGGGGACTCAAGAGTAAGGGAATGTTGAGAACAGAAATGAGACAAGGAGGATGAAAGCAGGTGCAGGAAACAGTCAAAGGAAGAACAGAGATAAGAGTCAAAACAGATGCAGTCAAAAAAAAAAAGATTTGTGGGTACAGGAGGAGTGAAAGTGGGAGGTGGAAGCTAGAAGTGACATGGAGAATCAGAGCAAAAGGGAAACAGGAGAGAGGAAAAATTCTGGTGAAGGTTAAACATGGATTGATTTATTTGGTGTATTTCTTTAGGAGGGCTGTGCAGCTGAGGGAGGACGGTTTTTCAACAGGCACAGATTCAGCATCAGGCAGGGACAGAGCTTCCTTGGCATGTGTCTCACTCCACTCTAAGCAAAAGATGTAAGAATATAAGAGTGGCCATACTGGGAGAACCCAAAGGTCCATTCAGCCCAGTGTCCGGCAGTGGACAGAAAGAATTAACAGAACAGGTAATCTCATTCCCAGCTTCTGACAAACAGAGGCCAGGGCACCATTCATGCCCATCCTGGCTAATAGTCATTGATGGACCTGCCCTCTATGAATTTATCTATGTCTTTATTGAACCCTGTTATAGCCTTGACCAAGAATTCCACAGGCTGACTGGGCATTGTGCGAAAAAAATACTTCTTCATGTTTGTTTTAAACCTGCTGTCTATTACTTCCGCTTGGCAAGCATAGTTCTCATGTTAGAAGATGGGAGTAAATAACACTTCCTTGTTTACTTTTTCCACAACAGTCATGAGTTTATAGACCTTTATGACATCCTCCCTCATAAGTGGGAGAAGAGCCCAAAACCTGCACCAAGATTGAGAGGTTAGTTCACTTTATTACCCTGCTTAATGGTCAGCTGGGAGTTAAACACACCCTCTCTCACTGGAGGACTCTGCTTTGTGTTCTGGTGTTTGGCCCCTCTCTGACCCATGGTAGCTGTACTGGTGCTCTCCTCTCCTGGGATTACATGGGGGATCCTCTCAGTGGGTCTCAGCCTGACCTTTTTCTCAGCTCAGTTCTGCTCTCAGTTCAGTTCAGAAAGTCCTGTGGGTTTTGTGCTCAGTCAAGGTGCTGGCGACAGCTCTACAGAATAAAGTGCCTTGTTTGTCCTCAAACAAACACAGCATGGGCAGCTGTCCTGTGAACTCCCTCGAGCCCGGTTCTGCCAGGGGGCACGTTGCACTGCAACACCACACCTGGGGCTGGCCCAGGTCAGCTGCCTCAGGCTGTGAGGCTATAAAAGCGGGTGTAGCTGTCCAGGAGGACAGGCAGTCCCCGGGTTACGTACAAGATAGGGACTGTAGGTTTGTTCTTAAGTTGAATTTGTATGTAAGTCGGAACTGGTACATATTGTAGGGGAAACTCTAGCCAAACATTTCTCCAGAGCTCAGTTTTATTCTCCCACACCTCACTTCCCTCAGCCCTTTATTCTCAAGCTGAGGTGTCTGCTGAGAAAAGCCGCTCCACCTCTCCCTGGTCTGCTGGGCGGGGGGAGGGGGACGCGCTAGCTTCGCATCTCCCTAGTCTGCTGGGGGGAAGTAGCTAGTGCGGGGGTGCCTCACCCCGGTTGTAACATTTCTCCAGAGCTCAGTTTTATTCTCCCACACCTCACTTCCCTCAGCCCTTTATTCTCAAGCTGAGGTGTCTGCTGAGAAAAGCCGCTCCACCTCTCCCTGGTCTGCTGGGCGGGGGGAGGGGGACGCGCTAGCTTCGCATCTCCCTAGTCTGCTGGGGGGAAGTAGCTAGTGCGGGGGTGCCTCACCCCGGTTGTAAGTAGGGATCCGATGTAAGTCAGATCCATGTAACCCGGGGACTGCCTGAATCTCGGCACAGAGAACAGCCTGCACGGACACGGGGCCTCAAGCCAAGTTTTTCCTTCAGCAAAGGGACGGGCCCTTCGGTCCAAGGTTACCTCCCAGTCTGGGGGGAGGCCCCATCGGGCTCCTGGGTCCCCTCTGCCAAGCTCTGAGCAGGAACTTCCTTTGTGTGCACGTTTTCCCGGTCCTGCAACAGGGCGCACACTGGGGCCGGTGCGAGCTGCCAGGGAGAAGGCAAAGCCCAGGGCGCCGCGGGGGCTCTCACGGGGTAGGACCGGGAGCGGCGCAAGGGGGCGGCCCAGAGCCCGAGCCGGGGGCACTTACCCCAGGATGGCGACGGAGCGGGG